TCTGACTCTGTCCAGATCCATAAGTATTCTTAATACTGTTTAAAAGAATCTATCAAAGGGGTAAAAATATCATTCTTTGTGTTTTTACTTTTTTTAATGCTCTTTAAAATAACTCAGTAAGTGCATACTCCCTTTTTAAACTTTTTTTCCATGTTTATTCTAGCAGGAAATGGCAATAAATGACAGCATTTATTACATGGAATTTGCTGGTGATCTTAAGCATTGATTTGGATTTCATTCATTCTGTAAGATTAGTTAAATGTCTCAGATATTCATGGAGTTTTTATTAAATAATCAGTATATAAGTAAATTGATTGCCTCCAGTTTTCTTTGCTGCTCGTCGCTCTTGTAGAGTGTTGCCTACTCTGTTTTCCATCCATGCCCTCAGATGAATTATGAAACAATCTTTAGACAAAAAACCCATATTTTTCCTTGTCAAAGAAAATGTAAGTTTGGCTCTGTGTTGAACATCTTGTGATCTGATGAGTGAGCTCAGAAAGTATGTCTGGGTTAACCAGCATGCACTAGTTGTAGTGATGCAAGATTCCCAATGTATTGGTATTGGCATCTTTATAATTAACTGTTGCAATCACAGACCACAGTTTCAGAGATTGTCCTTAAAAATAGATGCAGGATTTACATGCCTGCAATTTTAATTCAAGAATGAAATGGCCTCTATGTAATTTAAAATTTGGTTGCAGACTATTTGTGAATTGAAATCTGCAAAACGTCTCAGTTCTCTGGAGATTATGGTCGCTTAAACCAACATTGTTTTCTATTAGGATTGCACTGACCAGTCATGAGGGCATTTTATGTTTTATAAACTGTACATCTGTAGGTTTGAAAGTAGTGTGTGTCTGTAACTGGTTGTAGTTATTCCCCCAAGGGTTTAAATGAACTTGTTTAGCTTTGATTTATAGATTATTTTAAGAGAGATCATATACTCGAGGAAGAGTTGATAATTTAAAATGAGTTTTTCAAGACCCACAGGGCATAACCAAGTTGTAGCTGTTGTCTGGGTAAAAACAGCACCTTTGTTTCTCCATTTATTTTGTTGTTTTATAGTTCAAATCTGATTTTTTCCTTTCTGAGATTTTATATTAAATTACGTTGTAATTAGTCAGCAATTACGTGAAATCTGTGTGTTGTGTGACGAGACACTGCAGAACTTTTAAAAACTGGATTAAGGTATCTCCTGGCATCAGTGAAAGATGATTCACTGTGTGACTGGATAGTGGTTAATATTGTCTTACAGGTGATATCTCACCTGAACAACATTCAATAAATAACATATTTGACTTTTAAAACTAAGCACAATGATATTTTGCATTCACAGAGCTTTAGAATATCTTTTTATTATGTAAGTCCTCAGAAATGTATTTGTGGAGGCTGCCAAAGCCTAGGAGGAAATGTGTCTGATGCCAGTAGGAAACTCAGTGAATATGTAACATTAATATCTGTGCCATCCAACAAATATATTTGTGGGAATAGTATGTATCATCAAAATGCTTAATGCTGAAGTATGTATAAATTATTACTTTTTAGCAATCATATCTAAGGGAAATATCTTTATGTAGGCCACATTCAACCCATTTTATCAACTACCGAGAGAATTAAGGCAACTTGTGGTAGAAAAGATAAATTCATCAGTCAGAGCTGAACGCCTTGTATGTCAATGAGCAGTGCCACTGCTGTTTGGCTAGAGCTGTTAAATGCTGCTTCACATCATGGTGAAATTTGAGTAGAAAATTGCAAAAAGAAATATTCCTACTCAGGTTGTCAGATCCGATTCTAATTACCCTCATCTGTTGGCAGTCTGCATAGATTATAGAACTTAAAGTGAATCCTTAAGCCACAGCTTCTCAAGTATTTAGGTTGCACTTATTTGTCAAGAGCCAAAAGAAGATATTTCCTCCTACAAGGAAAGGCTGAGAGAATGAGGTTTGTTCAGCCTGGAAAAGAGACAGTTTAAGGGCCTTCTAGGACCTGATGGGAGCCTACAAGAAGGACAGAGAGGGATTTTTTTTCAGAAGCATGTAGTGGCAGGACAAGGGGGAATGGATTCATACTAAAAGAGAGTAGGCTTAGATTAATTAGATAGTAGCAAAAAATTCTTTACTGTGAGGGTGGTGACATTCTGGAACTGGTTGCCTAGAAAATTTGTGTTTGCCTCATCCCTGGAAGTGTCCAGTGCCAAACTGGATGGGGCCCTGAGCAATCTGGTCTAGGTGAAGGTGTCCCTGCCCATGGCAGAGGGGTTGGAACTAGATGATCTTTAAGGTCCCTTCCAACCCAAACCACCCTGTAATTCTATGATTCTATGCATATCTTAAAATGAAGAGATGGCTGTGAAGTCAAGTTGGTAGATACTTGAAGCCAGGATATTGTAATCCTTATTTAATTGTATGCATTTCACAGTCTGGAAAAAGTTAACTAATTGCTCCTGTTTTTAAGAAAGATATAGGTCTTTTTGCAACTTTGATAAGACAAATAATCATATTATTTCAGTATTATAACTGCTCATGTTCAATGAAAACTTCATATGAATTGTAAATCCCCAGTCTTTTATGCTAACAAGCATCATACATCTTGTTTTAAAGAGAGAGGAGGTAGGGTGTATTACTCTTTACAACAGTACACTGTTGTCATATCAGTGGCTCTTTACTGCCTTTCTTTAGATCCTGTTTTTTAAAGACGGAAAGTCTGCTTATTACAGTACCTTATATTGTTGCCTTGGCAGTGATATGTCACTATGTTTTCAGAATAATGATCAATTCTAAACTCCTCTGTTGATGGTTAACAATGAAAGAGAAGCTGGAAGTGCCAGACAAAATGAGCATTCACAAACTGTATCTTTGAGAATGAATTATACTCTAGTTATTTTAATGAAGAAAATTTGTAGGATAACATGTACAAAAACTGCCACACTGTTTCCCAGTACCACTGGTTTATTTTAAACCAGAGCACATAAACAATAATTCTGCATTGAAGTGTGCCCACAGTCTGTTTGGTGATGCTTTCTTTGGAAATGTGTCTCTACTAGCAGAGGATGGCAGACAGAAAATGGATTTTGTGCAATATATAAATAAAACCAATCTGTTAGTAAATCTATAAATATATTCCCTTTGTTTCCTAAACCAACAACATTTTAAAATCCACCCTCAGTGGGGTGGCCTAAAATTAAAGGAAAATAAAAGATTTATTGTGGTCAGGGGACATTCAGTCAATTTGAATTCACACTGCTGCAGCATTCAGGCTAATAAAGTAGGATGGTAGGATTAATAATCCATAGGTGAAATACACTTATAGTCATCAAATAAAAGAGCATGAATTATTAATTAATGATCTTTCGCTTCATCTCAAGGTGTGCAGAAGCAAGAGGTGGTGTGTAAAAGGCTGGACGACAGCTCCGTTGTACAAAACAATTACTGTAACCCTGACAGTAAGCCTCCAGAAAACCAAAGAGCCTGCAACACTGAGCCTTGCCCACCTGAGTAAGTCAGTAATCACTAAGATGGACCTCTGTCCTACATAGAAAATACTTCGTAATCTATAAGAAACGATGTTGTCCAAACACTTAGAGAATTCTGATCTAATATTCAGATCCTGTCTTACCAGAAAGGATATTTGGTTTTGGTTCTTTTGGTTATGGCTTTATGTTCCTGTAAAAATCGGCTGTGGAAAATGCATTGAGCTAGAGGAGGTCTGATTTGACTGAGGAACAGTAGTGAAGTTTGAACTATACAAAAGCTCAGACATTGTAAGTAAATAATACAATCTAAGTGGATTCTTAGAGTGTGATTGTCATATGTAGTGAGTAGTGCACACAGTAGAACTGGGGATGGTTCTTAAGGCAACAACAACAGAAGAATGTTGAGGTGAGACTAACTTTACCAAAGTTATTAATATTGCATACTGAGTGTTTGCCATATTTTAAAGTATTGTAGATTAAAATTTGTGTTGACGTGTTCACATGAGAAGTGGCAAACATAGAAACTGCTTAGGAGACCAAATCATTTTCTGACTATAGTTTTGTCAAACGTTCTCTCCAGCAGACTCACTGTTGTACAGTAATGCTGTATTCCTTTAGGATTAGGTACCTATTTGGCTGTATCTATTTAGATTTATTTTAAAGATAGTCATGTGCTATATATTGAAAAGATAATTAAAAACACAGCAGCTCACTTGATTAAAAATGGAGTTTGGCAAGGACCTATAGCATATCTTAATCTTACTACAAAAGCTGTTTAGAAACAGTTTGTATTTTGCACTAGGAAATAATGTAAGCATATGCACAACAGCTTCTCTTGTGTTTTGAGACAAATAATACTTGTGGGAAAAAGTGGAAGAGACAACAGTTTATCGATTGCTGTGGTTTAATCTCAGCTAGCAACCAGGAACCAAGCTGCTGCTCACACACTCCCCCACCAACAGATGGCAGAGAGAATCAGAAGGGTAAAAGCTAAAAAAACTCATGGGTTGAGATAAAGGTAGTTTAATCGAGAAAGCAAAAGCTGCACACACAAGCAAAGCAAAACAAGGAATAAATTCACTGCTTCCCATGGGCAGGAGGTGTTCAGCCATCTCCAGGAGAGCAGAGCCCATCACACTTAATGGTACCTTGGGAAGCCAAACACCATCACTCCACATGTCCTTCCCTTCCTCCTTCTTACTTCCACCTTATATACTGAGCATGATGTCCTATGGTATGGAATATCACTTTGGTCAGTTCGGGTCACCTGTCCCAGCTGTGTCTCCTCCCAGTCTCCCATGCACCCCCAACTTCCTTGCCAGCGTGGCAGTATGGAAAGCAGCAAAGGCCTTGGCTCTGTGTGAGCTCTGCTCAGCAACAACAAAAACATCTCTGCATTATCAGCTCTGTACCCTGCACAAATCCTAAATA